GACAAAATACAGTAAGAAACACAAACCAACCAAGGCAACTTACTGAATATTAAAAGTGATTTGCATGAGAAAGATTACTCGAGTCTTTATTTGCCCCATGAGGTATCGGTGGAGGTCTAAAATTCTGGTAACACACATTAAGTATGAAGGCTGTGCTTAATTAGGTTAGTCTAGATTGTTTCAAAAGTAAACCATAAGCAGGAAATGAAAGTTGAGAGAAAATTGTGCCCGTCAAAATCAGAAAAATGTACAAACCCAAGTTTTACAAGATGCTTTGCAAGTTAACTTTCAGTCAGATATAATGAATCAGTGACGAGGCTCTAGATATGTTGAATGAAAGATGACATTGACATTCCTGATGACTTAAGTGTGATAATGGCAAGAGTGAGATGGCAAATGTAGCAAGTTTTCTCATCAGAATGGATAGAATATTCCTAATAGCTCAAATTGAAATTATGGTCCATTATGAGAGTGATGTTAAATTAAATGAACCCAGAAACTGAGAATAGGTGATAGGGGGATACCTGTTCTGTTTCCTATTAAGCACCTGGCACTGGCCATTGTGTAAAAACAGAACGCTGGATAAGCAGACCTATGACCTAACTGTCTGGCAATTCTTACTTCACCCTGTCAAACACCATTACCAAGCTGGGAAAGTTATAAAAAAACCAAAATATATTTATTAAAATCAGTTTAAAGTCAATAAATTACTAAATTCCTTAATTACAATTAAATCTCATCACACATGTGCCAATCCTACATTAAGTCTCAAAAATGAATGGCTCGAGTCTGTCCAATCTAACAGCCAGTTTCCTCCTTAAAAATTCTGGCTTTTCAATGTGTGGTAATCTGCTGAGAAATGTGCAAAAACAGACATAGGCTGGATAGGATTGTTTTTCCTTCTGTACTTATGTGAACAAACATGACAGTTAAGATATTGTCTAAAAGTAGACAATATAAAAAAGGAATTAGGCAACAAAGAACATTGGAACGGACTGGAAAACATTCTGTACATGCACAGCTTCTTATATTCCCAACACTTGGCACAGAAAAAACGCCATGATTTCTGGGTATAAAAGAGACCCTACCCGGGAATATTTCAAATTTATTCCCTGGATAAAAAGGAAAATGTGTCAAGATGATGCAGGACCTAGCTGCAAATATAAGGAAAATTGCTTTTCGGGAGAAAATGAAGTGATTATGTCTGAAGAACAATGTGGATCAACTTAGTAATGCATCATTCTTCAATACCTTTTAGTACAAGTATAAATTCCCAAGCTATTTGCTAAATTAGAAGTTGCTAGAAAAAAGTTTAGCTTATCTATTTTTACGACTTGTTCAACTAGGTTTAGAATCCATCAACAAAGCAGACTGTACAGAAAACTACAATAAGAAATCAGCGCTGCCATTTGCCACTCATTTTCTTAGTGTGGAAAAAGAGCTAGCTGTAGAAATTTTCAGGACACTGTACATTTAGTGTTCTCTGGACTTGTCTGTTAAGAGTAAAAATCTGAAAACAGACTGCTTCAATTTCAAATGTGAAACATGTAAAATTCAAGCTTCAGTTTAACACAAGTGGTATGTGTACGGTTTCATTCTTACCATTCCTAATGTACTACTGCTGCATCCACAGCTTGATACAGGTAATGAGTATTCTACACTAATACCTAAATTAATAAAAAAAACATTACCTAAAAAAGGTTAGGCAGAGTATACCTTCTTACATTATGTAAATTGCTGTACTGCACGATAAGTAAACAAGTTTTAGTGATGAGATTTGCACTAATAAACATGTGAAATATCAAAAGGAAATTTAAAACATCCATTCTAAGACCTAGAGCACTGCTAAGTACTTACCATCACTTTTCCTTTTGTAGATGTACTGTTCCATCTGAAAGTCTAGATTGGTACCTCCCAAGTGGGTCCCTGCAGCAAGGAATTTGAGGACATCTTCCTCCTTCATCTGCAGGACATCGAGACCTCCGGACATTGTTAAAGCTCCCCCTTTCAAAGTAACGACAGGGAACCTGGAACAACAAATCAGTTCACCCTCCCAAAAACTTACAGAATGAACTCAGGTAACTATGGGATTTCCTAGAAAGTGGAGATTTTTAAGAACAGTTTGTACAATTGTGTTAAATCAGCATCCCCTGACTGGAGCTACAAGAGACTTTTCATGCAGAACCTCATTTAGGGCCAAGAGCAGTTAGGCCAGGCTCCCTCGGGAGCCAGAGAATGAAAATCCCAACCTTTCCAAAGGCATTCCACCCTGGGGTATCAAGAAGCAGGATGCAACTATTTGTTTCCAAGCTTCGGTTACAAAGCAGTACCACCCCACCCAACCCCCCTAGGCCAGTCTCAATTTATCTCCCAGCTCGCCAATACTCAGTAATTCTGCTGTGAGCAGAGATTTGTGTTTTATCCCCTTTCACTGCTCTCTCTCAGACGCATCACTCTTCACAGCAGCAGCTAGTAGCTCATCACCACCGTAAAGGCACAACCAATCAAGTCAGCAATAGGCAAAGCTCTTGGCTGCTACTCTGGGGAGGCCTAGTAAAGCCACAGCTGTTTGCGATTTTAATTGAGTTTGCAACACCGCACCTACAGCAAGAAGGGACTAAGCTATAGAGCGCTAGATATGCAACCACGTGACTGGCTCGGGGCTGACTCGCCTTGCACGCGCTGCAGCGAGCAACCCCCGCCCCCGCCAGAGCGGAGCACGCCGCGGCCAGGCAGCCTCCTCCTGAAAAGAGGGGAGGGGGGAGAGAAGAGAATGTCGCGGGCAGGACGAGGGATGCGCGCGACGCCGAAGCACGTCTGGGCCTCGCGGCCAGCAGGCGTCAGGAAC